CTCTAAGCCCTAAGCCCCAAACCCTAAACCCTAAACCTGCGGGAGATGACAGCTAGCTCAGGCCCATGATCTCTTCACGGGCCGCCTGGAACCGGGAGACGTCCCACCGCTGCAGGCGCCAAGCCTTGCAAAAGCCGGTGTGAAAGTCTACACCCTCATGAAACGGAAGAAGCCGTAATAAGCCCTAAAACCCTTAATCCTGAAGCCCTAAACCGGCGTTTTGGGGTTTAGCTGGTGGCTTCCAGGCCAGGCCCGAAAGCCCACCGAACCTCAAAATCTGCTCCCAGGTGGTGATGGACGGCGGCTTGCCTTCCGTTTCAAGCTGCAGCTTTTGATTCGCGAGCCCACTTTTTATAGTCTTTGGGTGCGATGTAGCGGGTTCTCCAGATGCTGCGAGGAGGGCTACGGTATGAAACCAAGCAATCCGAAACCCTAAACCCTAAACCCCAAACCCTAAACCCTGAACCCTGAACCCTGAACCCTGAACCCGAAACCCTAAACCCTAAACCCCAAACCCCAAACCCTAAACCCTAAACCGACTGAAGCGCAGTTCGCAGCACCCCACCGAGGCGACGTGCTGTTTTCGCTGAACAACCGGCGGCTGGCCGCGCTGAAGATGTGCCAAGCGTTGAGTGGGCACAAAGTGCTAAAGGTGGGAAGTAAGGGTTGAGGGTTAGGAGTTTATAGGGTTTCGGGTGTTGGGCTTAGGGTTTAGATATAGGGTTTAGGCTTAGGGTTGAGGGTTTAGGGTTTACAGGGTTTAGGGTTTCAGGGTTCGTGTAGGAAGATGCCGGGAAGGGGGGTGGGGGAGTTGGTGATGAAAAGAGCCCTGGAGGTTCCTTGCATCATCTTCCACAAGGATCACCGGGACATCTGCACTTTGCCTGCCTACACCCTGAGACCTGAACCCCAAAACCCCTAAAGCGGTAAACCCTGAAAACACTAAAGCCCTAAGGCCCCAAAACCTAAAGAAACCTCAAATCTAAACCCGTCAACCCCGAACCCTTCAACCCTTAAGCCCTAAACACCCTGAAGCCCTCCACCCTGAACCCCCGTAAACGACTGGACCCCCCTAAACCCTAAACCCGAATCCCGAAGCCCTAAGCCCTAAGCCCTAAACCCTAAACCCCGAAACCCAAGCAGAGTTTGTTTTGGGGGGGGCCCGAGGTGCCTGGTACCGCAAGGCCAAGAGCACCAGCGAAGAGCTGGGACACGGCGGCCCGGCCTTTTTTTTGTGTCTCGGGGCCGAACCTGTGGGCTTTAGGGTTGAGGGTTTAGGGTTCAGGGTTTAGGGTTTTGGGGTTTAGGGTTGAGGGTTTGTGCTTTAGGGTTTAGGGTTTAGGGTTTAGGGTTTTGGGGTTTAGGGTTGAGGGTTTGGGCTTTAGGGTTTAGGGTTTAGGGTTTTGGGGTTTAGGGTTGAGGGTTGAGGGTTTAGGTTTGAGGGCTGAGGGTTTCGGGAACCCTGACGCCCGCTACTGAACCCTTGGCTTTCAGAAGACCGCGGCGGGAGCCCTCAGCCCGGGGGTTTTGCGGGTTCAGTTGGGGCTTAGGTTTAGGGTTTCGGAACTAGGGTTTAGGGTTTAGGGTTTAGGGTTTAGGGTTTAGGGTTTAGGGTTTAGGGTTTAGGAGTTCGGGTTTCGGGTGCACTGTAGGAGGCTTCTAGGGTTTTCGGGGTCTGGCAGTTGAAGCTTCGCCGCATCAGGAACAAGGCCCCTTGCTGGGGTCTGAAGTGCCCCTCTGGCCAGGGGTTTAGCCCCCAATGCTCTAAAGCCCTCAAACCATAAAACCTTAAAGCCCTAAACCCCAAAGCCCTAAACCCTAAAAACCCTAAAGCCCTAAAACCCTACAACTTTAAGCCCTCAAACCCTAAAACTTTAAGCCCTAAGCCCTCAACCCCTACAACCCTGAAACCCTAACACCCTATCACCCGCAACACTCTAAAACACTAGAACTTGAAGCCCTAAACCCTAAACCCTGAACCCTAAACCCTAAACGCTAAACCCTAAACCCTAAACCCTGAAAGCCGCCCAGCCTAGGGCATGGCGTGAAAGCGCACGGCGAGCGCCCGGAGGCATGGCACCTCGGGGAGCGGCGCCCTCAGGCGAAGCCTCCATGCCCAGCCTGAAGATCCCCTTCGGAGGTTTAGGGTTTGGGGTTGAGGGTTTGGGGTTTAGGGTTTAGGGTTTGGGGTTTGGGGTTTAGGGTTTAGGGTTTGGGGTTTGGGGTTTAGGGTTTAGGGTTTAGGGATCGGGTTCAGGGTTGAGGGTTTGGGGTTTGGGGTTGAGGGTTTGGGGTTTGGGGTTTGGGGTTTAGGTTTGGGGTTTGGGGTTTAGGGTTTGGGGTAGGGATTAGGGTGTAGGGTTTGGGGTTTGGGGTTTGGGGTGCAGGGATTAGGGTTCAGGGTGGAGGGTTTGGGGTTTGGGGTTTAGGGATTAGGGTTCAGGGTTTGGGGTTTGGGGTTTCGGGTTTGGGGTTTGGGGTTTAGGGTTTGCTGTGATAGGGCGTAGATGCTGTGAAGGTGAGGTTAGGGAACAAGCTCGAAAGTTCGTGAGGTGCCAAGAGCAGCTTTGGCCCGATTGCGGAGGGCCATCTAACACTTCCAAGGCGGCAAAGCCACCCAACCCAATTCCTTTTAGGGTTTAGGCCTAAACTCAGACAACAGTTCACTTCTAAAAAAACGAAAGGGGGGGTGAGGAGGAGGGACGGGCCAGGCCAGGGGGTCAGGGGGCCAGGGAGTCAGGGTCAAGGGGGGCCGGGGGCCAGGGCGGGCAGCGGCCACCCAGAATCAAGGGTTTAGGGTACTTACTTTTTTTAAGGGACCAGAACTGGTCCCAAAAAACCGGCCCATCGTGGGCGCTACCGACCCCCATGCTGTGGGAGGCGGGCGAGCGACCTGGGTGGCTTGCGCCATCGATGTCGAAGGGCTTAGGGATTAGGGTTCAAGGTGGCGGGTTTGGGGTTTGGGGTTTGGGGTTTGGGGTTTGGGGTTTGGGGTTTGGGGTTTGGGGTTTGGGGTTGATTAGGGTTCAGAGGGTTTGGGTTTGGGGTTTGCCGACCTTGGACCCAAGTACCTTCTGCCAGGGCAACCCGACAAGCCCCGAGATGCCCTGGAACCCATGAATGCGGAGCCCTTTAGAGTTCCAGGTTTGGGTTTTAGGTTTAGGGTTTCGGGTTTAGGGTTTAGGGCTTAGGGCTTAGGGTTTAGGGTTTAGGGGTAGGGGTCATGGGATGACTTCTGGATGGAAGGGCCTCGCGTCCTCTAGGTGGCAGTGGCCGTGTCTGGGCACGTTAAGTGCGAGGATCCCCAGTATAGAACAGGATCCCAAAGCAGCAGTGACCCCAAACCCAAACCCCCAAAGCCGAATTAAACCCAACCCATCCTCAACCCTAAACCCTAAACCCCAAACCCCAAACCCTAAACCCCAAAAGCCCAAAACCCTGAAAACCCCTCCGAGGCCGCTCTTCCGGCGTGAGGGAGTCTGGACCTTGGTGATGGGGCGCTTTCTCTCGGGCTCTTGGGGCACCTGGTAGGAGGTTTCAGGGTTCAGGGTTTTGGGGTTTAGGGTTTTAGGGAGTAGGGTTTTAGGGTTTAGGGTTTAGGGATTTGGGGGTTTGTTCGGGTTTTAGGGTTGTGAGAGGTTGGGGATTAGGGGCTTTAGGGTTCTTGGGGTGTAGGGGTTGCAGGGATTTAGGGGCTTTAAGGGTTTGGGTTTTCGGGTTTTTTTGTGGTTTAAGGGCTGTAAGGGCTCTAGAAATCTTAGGGGTTTTGGAGGCTTTGGGGGGTTCCAGGGCTGAAGGGGTTCGAGGGGTTCTAGGGCTGAAGGAGGTTTAGGGTTTAGGGTTTAGGGTTCAGGGTTTAGGAATCAGGGTTCAGGGTTTAGGGTTTAGGGATACAGGACCAAGGCGGGGACTCGGACCCAAAGGAGAAGCCTTGTAAGTTCAGATGAGCTTGGGGTGTAGGGTTTAGGGTTCAGGGTTTATATAGGGTTTAGCTGAACCTCTGGCTATCTTGATGGCCTTCCACAACTGAGCCCCCTAAACCCTAAGGGTCATGACAGTCGTAAACACTCTTTTCTGTGAGGAGTGGTTTTCCGCTATGCAACCAGGACTGGGGAAGGGGGGGTGGGGGGTTGCAGGGGAAATTTCGTGCATGGGCTTGGGGCCTGTGAGTGCTTCGGAGGTTTCTGTGTTCGGATGGGTGTTCGTCTCAGCTGTCGCTTGGGCGTTCAGGGGGTATAGCGTGGGCGGGGGGCGGGCGGGGAAAATGGGCCGGAATGAAGCCCTTGAGCTGAAGAAGGCTCCCTACACCCAAAAAGCCCAAAATGGGGGTTGAGCAACATGATCGGCTTTTACGCAATATTCTTCAGAGTGTAGGGTGCCAAGACCCCAAACCCCAAACCCTCAGCCCTGATTCCCCTTTGCAATGGCAGGCTCTGGCTCGACTCGGATGCAGGAGGCCCCGCGTGAGGCCCAAGATGGCGAGTTGAGAGGGTGAGCCCTGGGGGTGTCTTTCTGGCAATGACACTGGGGTTGAGGGTTGAGGGTTGTGGGGTTGAGGGTTGAGGGTTGAGGGTTGAGGGTTTAGGGTTTGGGGTTTAGGGTTTAGGGTTTAGGGTTGAGGGTTTAGGGTTTAGGGTTGGGTAGTTATGTAAAAGAAGTGACCTTTCATGTGAGTCTTGCCCAGAGAAGACTGAGGTGTCATCTAGAGGGCAATGTCGCCAAGTCAAGGGCCAATGAGTTAGGGACACCCAACTCACAAATCCGCAACTTTGGCATCTTCCTCCCTGTAGCCAGCACACCAATGCTCGTCCTTTACGAGAATGAGGGCAAGTAACCCCACGTGCAACATAACCCTCAGCTTGTGCAGGTGCGGAGGGAATCGCGGAAGGTGCGGGGGACACCGTCTTGAGGGTCTTGAGAGCACCGGTTGGGACCAGTATCCCTCGTACCCTTGACCAGACCCGGAACAGGCCCCCATTGCACCCCTCCGCCAGTCCCTGATGAATCCCTGGGAAGAGGCCCTCGGCGCTTCTGCTTCCGAGATCGTGGAACTTCTGGAGCAGGTTCGCAACCACGGCGGCCTGGACTCCGAGTGGACCAGCTCTTTGTCAGAGGCCCTTTCTTTTTTGGGGTTTCGGGTTTAAGGATGACGGGTATTTCGGGTATTTCGGGGATTAAGGGTATTGAGGGTATTGAGGGTATTAAGGGTATTAGGGTATTAAGGGTATGAAGGGAAGTCAGGGTATTCAGGGTAGGAAGGGTTTGCAGGGTAGTAAATGTATTCAGGCTAGTAAGGATATCAAAAGGGATTCAGGGTATGAAGGGTCTTAAGGGTATTCAAGGGTCTCATATGGACTCACGGAGGCCATCGTGGCCGCGCCCCCAAGCCTCGACCAGCTCACGAAGGATCTGCGTGGCCAGGCGCGGCGTGTGGGGGGGGGGGGTGTACCCTAAGCTTGCAGGTTCCCAAAAACCCCCCGAAAAACCCGAAGAGCCCGAAGCCCAGACACCAAAGAAGCCTGAAACCCTGAATCCCCCACAAGCCCCCAAAAGCCCCAAACCCTCAAGTTCATGCTCCGAGATCCCCAAACCGCCTAATCCCTAAACCCTAAACCCTAAACCCTAAACCCTACACCCTACACCCTACACCCTACACCCTGAAACCCAGAAACCCTGAAACCCTGAAACCCTGAACACCTGAGCCACCAGGAGCCGGGGAGTCCCAGTGCACCCCAGTCAGCGCCCAGCCCCCCGAGCTCTCCGGCGCCTCCGGCGCCTGTGGCGGAGGCCCAGGAGCTTGATCTGTGGCTTGGGGTTTAGGGCTTAGGGTTTGGGGTTTAGGGTTTAGGGTTTGGGGTTTCGGGCTCAGGGTTGTCGCGTGGGTTTGGGGTTTGGGGTTTGGGGTTTGGGTTGAGGGGTTAAGATGCCGCTTTTGTGACGCCCTTGGATGAGCACTTTTGGGACGGAGCCTCCTTTAGGGGCCAACTGCTGTGCTAGGAGCCCGAAGCTGCTGGCCTGGAAGCCGAGGAGGGGGCCGCATCGGGTTGTTTTAGGGATCGTGGGCTTTTAAGGAATGTATATGGCTTTGTAAGCTGCTTATGAAGGGTTTTACAGGGATCGTGGGATAATCGAAGACTGTACAGGGCTTATAACAGGGTTCATGGGGATCATGGGGGCTGCATCTCTTGTCTTGTGGTGCTCAGGATGCTTCCTCCTTCCCACCCTTGACGCTGAGTCCAAAGGCGGAGAGGCCTCAAGTGCAGTCTGCGTGGACCAGGCGCTTGCGGCTGGAGAAGGACCACGGAGTCTCCACGGCCACGACACCTTCCGCTCGTTCTGGTGTGCCTCCCACGCCACCACCCCGAGAGCCCCCGCAGCTGCAGCTCGTTCAGCCAGCGGCATCATTGGCACAGTCCTCGATGCAGCCGCCGGTGCCGCAGCCAGCAGCGCCTGCCGTGCAGCCAGCAGCGAAACCAGCAGCCCAACCAGCAGCAAAGCCAGCAGCACAGCCAGCAGCACAGCCAGCAGCACAGCCAGCAGCACAACCAGTGGCACAGCCAGCGGCACAGCCGCCGCCGCAGTCGCCAAGCAATGCAGCAGGGAGTGAGACGACCCGGATGAAAGAGAGTGCCCTTAAGGGGCCTCAGGAATTTGCGGCCCCGGCGGTGCCCAGCGAGGCCGCGCCCGATATGTTCGAAGACGACCTGGGGAGTGATTCCTTCCGCAGCCTTTCGGAGGACGACGAGTTGGACTCGGAGGTGGCGGAGGAGGAGCCGGAGCCGGCATCAGCCGAGGCAGAGAAGCTGGAGAAGCTGCTTGCCGAAATGCAGCAGCAAGCAGACGTGCTTAGCGTGGGTGACCTGAAAGATCGCCTCGTGTCCGGCACCTTCCGTGTCCTGTCCGGGTCCGACTTCCGGAACCGGCGATCCCGAGCGCAGATCATCGTGGACCAGGGCCCCCCTAGCATGCTGGGCCGCCGGGTGCACGTGATCGGGGCGATGAACCGCAACCACGCCTGGGACCATGACCGCTGCTGGGTCCGGGTCCTCGCGGCCAGGGTGGAGGTCGAGGATGGTCAGGTGGCCCGGCGGCAGCGTAGGACCGAGGACCTGAAGCGACCCTGGGACCCCGCGACTGCGGAGGCCACGGTGCTTTTTGGGCAGGTGCTGCATGCAGTGCAGCAGCTGAGCCCCCGACAGAGCAAGGTGGTCTGCGTGCGCAGCCGCCTGGTGCGCAGCCTCAAGAGCATGTGCTTCCGCCCCATCAACGGCAAGTTCCCCTTGATCACGGTACCCTGGAACCCACTGAAGCCGCCTCCTGAGCTCCACGACCTCCACGTCGTCGATCTCCAGTGCTGGAAGAACCAGCTTCCCATGGGTTGCCACGAGGCGCTTTGCTGCTTTTCCTGTTTGAGACCTGTACCCGGGGAATGCTTCGTGCACGTTGCTGCGAGGAAGTGTTGCACATGCAGAGCCGCGACTCCGACGAGACCGTGCTCTATGCCATCAAGAGGTCGCTAAACTTCTGCGACTGGGAGGATGTTTCCTCAACCCCCCAAATCCATCCAAGTCCCGAAGCCCTACGGTAGTCCAATTGGAAAGCAGGGGTGTTCTCTTCGAATAGGGAGGCACGCAGCATTGGTGGGGCTCAGGGAGACCCCCTGAGCCTGAAGCCTGACCTCCCCTAAACCCTAAACCCTAACCCTAAACCATAAAACCCGAAACCCTAAACCCTGTGCGGATGTTCAGAGGATCACTCGGTCCTGAGCTCCATCCCCATCGGCGACGTGCAGCACCAGGACAAAGGGGAAGGGGATGGAGCCAGACAAAGCCCTAAAGCCCTAAACCCTACAGTAGCCCGATAGCCCTGAAACTCAACTCCGGAATCGTTTTACGACCTACAGCCATAACCCTTAAAACCCTTAAAACCCTAAGCGTGAAAACCTACGATGACGGACTCGCCTTGAATCCCCAAAGCCCCTGGAGTCCCTCAAGCCCAGGCCCGACAGCCTGTGCAACTTCTCCAACCCCCACCCTAGCCCCAAAACCCTCAAACCCTAAGACTCTGAAATCCCAAGATAAAAACACTAAAGCCCTACACCCCCCAAAAATCCCGAACAAATGCCTAAGAACCCTAAAAGCCTTTAGAAGAAAACCCAGAACCCCTAAAATTTCCCCTCAAACCCGAGAGAAGCCCCTTGAAGCCTCCAAAGCCCTTGCGAGGAGCTGCTGCAACGCAGCCGTCGGCGCCAGGATCTGTTGGGGGAAAAGCCGCCGCAGTTTTGGTTTGGGGTTTAGGGTTTAGGGGTTTAGGGTTTTAGGGTTTTTTGGGGTTTTTGGGGTTTAGGGTTTAAGAAATAGGTTTTCGGGCTTGGGGTGTTGAAGGTCTTTTTGGAGTACGATCCCACAATCTCCAGGACCTGCGGCACCAACTGGCCGTGTGCATCGAGCAGCCGGGTTGGCCGGGGAACCTTGCCTTGTCCCTCACGGAGGAGGCCTTGCAGGTGCCTGGCTTGGACGTCACGATGTTAAGCCCCAAACCCTAAGCCCTAAGCCCTAAGCCCTAAACCCTAAACCCTAAACCCTAAACCCTAAACCCTAAACCCTAAACCCTAAACCCTAAACCCTAAACCCTAAACCCTAAACCCTAAACCCTAAACCTAAGCCCCCGTCCCCGAAGCCGAGGTGCATGTCTTGGATGTGTCTGCCTACATGGCCAACGACATGTCTGGGAAGGAGTTGGGCTTGGGTTTAGGGTTTAGGGTTTAGGGTTTAGGGTTTAGGGTTTAGGCTTTAGGGTTTAGGGTTTAAGAATCGGGTGTTTAGGGTGCAGGGTCTACTTACTCGTTCCTGGTTCGGAAACCGTGATTTCCTATCCCTTAAAGTAGGTTTCGTCCTTCGAGCTCGCTGCCAGGTTGAACAAGCAGTTAAGGGTTTAGGGTTTAGGGTTTAGGGTTTAGGGGAACTGTACCTAAAATCTAAGGGGCCGTATCTCAACCTCAGCAGGGGACCGCATTTTCGGTTTTGGGTTTAAGGTTTAGGGGTTTAGGAATTAGGATGTAGGGTTTAGGGGTTGGGGAAGCACCAATGGGTGGTTCTCGCATGTGAGGGCTGAAGCCCAGCCCAGCCCTGAAACCGAAACTGAAAGCGCAGCCCCAAACCCCAAACCCCAAACCCCTAACCCCAAACCCACAACCCCTAACCCCTAACCCCTAACCCCTAGCCCCTAAACCCCAAACCCTAAACCCAAAGCCCCCAAACCCCAAACCGTAAACTCTAAACCCCAAAACCCTACTACATCCTAAGCCCCAAAACCCAAAGACCAAACCCTTTTCCCTCAACACTAAACTCTAAACCTTAAACCCCAAACCCTAAACCGCAGGACTTGGAGCTTCAAGCGCGGAGCAGGGCCTGCAGCGCCTGGCTCGCCGACCACCTTGACTGAGCCGAACAAAAGAAAGAAGGTAGGTAAGAAGGAAGGTTTAGGGTTTGGGGTTTAGGGTTTGGGGTATTGGGTTTGGGGGTTTCGGGTTTAGGGTTTGGGGTTGAGGGTATAGGGTTTGGGGTTGAGGGTTTAGGGTCTGGGGTTTGGGTTGAAGGTTTAGGGTTTGGGGTTTAGGGTTTGAGATTTGGGTTTAGGGTTTGGGGTTTAGGGTTTGGGGTTTGGGTTGAGTCTTTAGGGTTGGGTTTGGGGTTGAGGGTTTGGGGTTTTGCGGTGTGGGGGGTTGGGGATATGGGGTTTGGGGGTTGGGTGCTTAGATGAAAGCGAAGGGGGGCGGTGTGTTTAAGGGCTTTGTGGTTCTTTCGGGCTTGTTGGTCCTCTAGGCTTGGGGTTCTACGCTTTTAGGTGGCTTTGAGGGCTTGAAGCATGTTGCTGCTTTGGGTCTCCGGGTCGGGGTTCGGCACGCCTCGCAGGACCGGCCCTCTTCGGCGAGCCTGCCGCTGCTGCAGCCGGAGTTCATCGACAAGGTGGGCTTCGCCGATGCCGCGGAGCGCTTGGCCCTGACCTTCACGATCCCGCGAGACCCGAGGGCGCCGCCCATGTCCATCGAGCACTGCGAGTCGATCGTGCGCTGCCACCAGCGCCTCAGCTACGTGGAGGCCGAGCAGAGCATCGCTGGCGGAGGGGGCTGCGAAGATGTCGCCGCCTTGCTTCAGGGCTTGTCCCTGTTCACGGAGCAGTTGGAGGCAGCCCTGCCAAGAAGATCCCTGCTTTTCTCCTCCCAGATTTTCTCGAAGCTCTGTGAAGCCTTCAAAGCAATCACCCTAAACCCTAAACCCTGAACCCTCAACCCTAAACCCCAAACCCTAAACCCTAAACCCTGAACACTGGGGAGGCCGCAGCCCTCCAGGGCGGCGAGTCTTTCCCCTTGGAGCACTGGGATCCGCAAGTCGGGTTGCGGGACCCCCTGGCAGCGGCCACGCTGCGGGCCCGGCGCATCGTGGGCTGCTGCTCCTTCCTGGCGACTGCGCCGAGAAAGTTGTTCTTTTTAATAGAAATATGTATGTGTATGTGTATGTGTATGTGTATGTGTATCTGTATATGTATATGTGTATGTATGTGTATGTGTATATGTATATGTATATGTATATGTATATGTATATGTATATGTATATGTATGTGTACATGTATATGTATATAGATATATAGATATATAGATATACAGATATATAGATATATAGATATATAGATATATAGATATATAGATATATATAGATATATAGATATATAGATATATAGATATATAGATATATAGATATATAGATATATAGATATATAGATATATAGATATATATCTATATATCTATATATCTATATATCTATATATCTATATATCGATATAATGATATAATAGGTATATAGATGTATATATATATATATTACTACATGTTATATATATATGTATATATATATATATATATATATATATATATATATATATATATTCCCTGAGGCGCAAAGCACCCTGAGACCTCATCCGAACATCCCCAAGCCCTGGGCCCCAACCAAGCAGAGGTGAACCGCTATGCGGGGTACGTGTTGAGCGACGTGGCCCTCTGGCACGGCTTTCTCCAAGACCAGGCAGACAAGCCGTCGATGCCCTGTTGGGTCTTCGTGACTTGGCGTGCCTTCGGGGGGGCCTGAAGAAACCCTAAGCAAAAGCTTTTAGGAATCCTAAACCCTACACCCTAAGAAGTGAAGCCTTTAGTCTTTTTTTCTTTTATCCTTTTTTGTTTTTTCCTCTCTCGCTCTCTGTCTCTCTGTGTGTGTGTGTGTGTGTGTGTGTGTGTGTGTGTGTCTCGCCGTGTGTGACCGTAAACAGACGTGAAGCATAAACACGGCTGAGGCGAAGCCGGACGCCCAGAACCACCGCTCCCTTCATCGGCTGCTCCGCCAGCATTCCGGCAGCGTGTCGGCTGGGATCAGCACACGGGAAGTGCTCGAGGCCAGGCCCTCCGTGAGGGTTTGGGGTTTAGGGTTTAGGGCTAGGGTTTAGGGTTTAGGGTTTAGGGTTTTCGCAATCTTATGCCCTGAACCCAGGCTTCCTATAAACCCAATGTACGACCCCGAGTCCAACACCACCAAGCACCAAATACACCCTAAACCTCAAACCCTAGCATCCCGCAAAACAGCCGAAACCCTGAAACCCCTACAGCCACTAAACAGCCAATGCCAAGCCCCAAGTGTCTGAAGCCCTGACCTTAAATCCTACCCCTCAACCCTAAACCCTCAACCCTCAACCCTAAACCCTAAACCCTAAACCCCAAACCCTAAACCCTAAAGCCTGAGGCCCTGAGCTCGGCCTTGGACCAGGATGTCTGGGCCTGGGGTTTGTAGGGTCTTTATATGGGCTGAGGGGGGAAAGGGTTTAGGGTTTAGGGTTTAGGGTTTAGGGTTTAGGGTTTAGGGTTTAGGGTTTGAGGGTTTAGGGTTTAGGGTTTAGGGTTTAGGGTTGAGGGTTGAGGGTTGAGGGTTGAGGGTTTAGGCTTAGGGATTATGGGGTTTTAGGGCTTATAGGGTTCATAGGGTTCGTTCATAAGGTTTATAGTTTAAAGGCTGGTCGGGTTAATGGGGGCACGGGGAATTTTGTAGGGTTCATGGGGTTCATAGTGTTCTTAGGGTTTGTAGGGTTCACAGGGTTCATAGGGTTCGGTCGTGGGGTTTACAGGGCTTATAAGGTTTATGGGTTTTATTGCGCTCAACGCATGAAAGTTGAGGGTTCAGAATGCTAAAGCCCTCTCTGCTCCCCAACATTACATCCTTTAGGGTTTAGGGTTTAGGATTTAGGGTTTAGGGTTTAGGGTTTAGGGTTTCACTACAAGATAGATAACGATAAAGGGAGAATTCAATATTAGGCGGTAGGGGGGCTTAATATTTTGGCGGGAGTATAACATTAGGGGCAAGGGATTCACCGGTCTGTAGTGCTCCAATGTTTGTTTGAGGAACTTCCTTCGAGACTAGAGGTCCACCTCCCTAAGCACCCTAAGCCCTAAAGCCTAAACCCTAAACCTAAACCCTAAGCCCTAAACCCTGAACCCTAAACCCTAAACCCTAAACCCTAAACCCTAAACCCTACACCCCCCAAAAATTGCCGCAGGATCGCCTCACCGGAGTTCAGCAGTACGCCCTGCAGAAGGCCTTCCTGCGGCAGATACGGATGGCGCTGCCGGGAGGCTTCTACCGCTGCCAGGCCCAAGCGCTCAGGGAAGGTTTAGGCCTTAGGGGTGCAGGGGTTTAGGGTTTAGCGCTGAGGGGTACCCTAAATCCTAAGCCCTGATCCCTATGCAGAACCCAAACTCCAAACTTTCATCGCGACTTTCACTCCGATTCAAGCCCCCCAGCCCTCAGCCCTATAAGCCCCCAAGCCCCTAAGCCCCCAAAGCCCTAAGCCCCCAAAACCCTAAACCCTAAACCCCAAACCCTAAACCCTCAACCCTAAACCCTAAAACCCTCAACCCTAAAAAAGTCTAAACCCCAAACCCTAAACCCTAAATTTAAACCCTAAACCCTAAACCCTAAGCCCCCAAATCCTAAACCCTAAACCCTCAACCCTAAACCCTAAAACCCAAAGCCAGGCGGCGGTGGAGGAGGCCAAGCGGCCGCGGCAGCTGTTTCAGCGCCCGCGGATCTTCCACGTCTCCGCTCCTCTGGATCGGTACATCGATGCCCGGCCGCCCTCGTTATATATATATATATATATATAGATATACAGAGTGCATATTGTATATTATCTGCTTGAGCTTTAGCATGGAGCTACATAGAGTGCATATTGCATGTTACATGCTTGAGCTTTAGTATGGAGCTACATGTTATGGTGTGTACGATGTGTTATGTACTCTATGTATGTAATATGTACTAATATTATGTGCAATGTTCTTCTATATAAATATATACACACGCTGGAAAATATTTTGTAGTTTTAATTATTCAATCGAAAATCTATTATACATTGTGCAGGCACTCTTCTCGGCCATATGTCTAAGGACATCCTTGGCCAGCGGCTGCTGAAGCGGTTGAAGGGATGGCAGCCCGGCGTCGGCGAGACCTGGCTCCGGCCAACGGTGCAGCAGATCCGGGAGACAGCTGCCCAGACGCAGCCGGGAATTCCGAAGTTCGGAGAAGTTCGGAGCAGTCCTACAACCCGAAACCTTAAGCCTTAAACCCCTAAACCGTACATCCTAAACCCTAAACCCTAAACCGCCCCCAACACCCCGAATTCCAGGGGGTAGGAATTCGGTGATTGCTCTTTACCTGAACTGCTGTGTAGGTCGACCGCACGAACCCGCGCCTGGACGGCCCCGAGCCCAGAAGTTCTGCTTCACCTGCTTCCTGTGCGCTGCATATATATATATATATATATACATATGTATATGTATATGTATATATGCGTGTGTGTGAGTGTGTGTGTGTGTGTGTGCGCGTATGCACACATAACATCTGCCACATGCTTTTCGACATAGTCTCTTCACCAGACAAGTAAACAAACAGAACAGACATGTATACAGTACATCATTTCTGCTCTTCGTGTTGGTTGCTCAGGATTGCGTTTCGCCGGATTCATCTACCGCCAGATCTGCATGATGCGAGACTTGCGGTGCTCCTCAAAGAGAGTTCCCAACGCCGTGGTGGGCTTCGTGGGGCCGTCTATGTTCGAGGCTGGGAAACATCTGCGAAGCTCGGCTTGCGGTCAAGTGCTAGCGTGCTGCGTGATGCAACAAAAACCTCCTCCCCCTAAGAAGGCCCTAAAACCCTCGGCTCAAGAAGACTTCATCAGAAGCCTTGTAAACCCTGTAAGCCCTGTAAGACCCCTATAAGCCCCAAAAGCACCAGAGTTTCGGGAGCCTTTTGGGCAGGTACTGGTGCCGCTCGCGTCCAGCGCGCACGTGAGCCTGCAGGTTCCCACCAGCGCCCTCCGAAGCTCGTCTGTTGGTTTAGGGTCTAGGGTTTCGGGCAGTTTCTTGTTCAGGGTTTAGGGTTTCCGGTGTGTAGCAGCTGAGAATCCTTGCCAGAATAGCTCTACCGTACTAGCAGGTGTCGGTGGGTGGCGGCACATCCGGCGCCCAGCGCCCTTGTTGGATGTTGTGCAAGAAGCCATTGAAGGTCGGAGGGCCTCTATCACCCCCATCGCCTGTTGCATAAGGTTTAGGGCTGCACCCTCCGTTCCCACCCAGAACTTCAGGACAACCCGTTGCAGAACCTTGCTCGGGTGTATAGGAATCTAGGGTTTAGGCTCAATGCCTCAAACCTTGAAGTAGAATGTTGTGGCCTTTGTAGGGAGTATCTTCTACTTTCCCCTATTGTGTTGAACTTTTGCATTGAATTTGCCTAAGACATTGTATAGGTAGAGTTAGCAGAACGTGAATTGCACTCTACTTCTGTTGGGGGTACTGCTTCTTGCGGCTCATGGCTCATGATTCCGTGGCGAGGAAGCTTGACCTCGTCGCTGGAGTTCGACACGGAGATGCAGTGCCTCCGAGTGGTGCCGCTGGGCCACCGAACTCAAGACATCCCAGAACCTTCCCACTTGTAGGGAACTCTAAAAACCCGCCTGTCTGTGCCCTCTAGATGGATAAACCTTCAGAGAGACCCCCTTTTTCTGGGAGTCTGGGATCGAAGCTCAATCGGCCGAGGAACACGGACCCCTGGCGGAAGAGCAGCATGCGAGCACGGTGGAGCATCGAGCCATGGGGTGCCACCAAGGCCCGGGCCCGAGGAGACCTTTGCACCCAGCACGACGTCAAGTCCCAAACTTGGGAGGTTCCCCTTATACCAACAGCCCTTAATAGGGGTTATCATAACGGGGTACTAGAAGCCCAAGCCCTATGGAACATAAAGGCCGGAGGAGGGAGGAGTTTTATGAGGTGTCGCCCCCGCTTGCCGAGGTCGAGGTCACGGTTTCCAGGAATTTCGCCCAGCCCATCGACCACCACGCGGCCGCGAATGCCATGATAGTCTCGAACATCGTGTTCGACACTTGCTCGGGGCCCGTGGACATGAGCATCGGGCACCGGATGTACCCTGAAGTCTTCTCCGAGTTCCCTGACCTGAAGGACCGGCCGCAGTCAGTCCACCACCACCATGAAAGGGGCGCGGTAGGTTGTCCCTGTCACGCCAGGACTGCCACCTCATGGCCGCCTCCTCAGCCGCAGTCGGACAGCAAGCCCGGTGAGGCTTAGGCTTCGTAGGGGAGAGGGCCCTGACGGACCCAGGAAACGCAGCTTCATGCGTACGCGACAACGTGGTCCAAGATCTGGCGATGCCGCACGCACGCAGGCCTGACCAAACGACCTGACACCAACGCAAAGCCTTACTCTTAAACCCAAACTACATGCTGCTTCGACCCTACAGGTAGTTAAAACCCTACTTCAAAGCGTAGTACCAAGCCTACTAACAACCCTACTGAAGCCCGTCAAAGTCAACCACTTCGGCCCTCGGCGAAGCCAGGGGCAGCCGCAGCCGCTGCCTACTCGCAGCCGTTGCAGCCCTCGAGGCTTCAGCTGCTCGAAGGGGCCTTCGAGTGCGTCTCGGCGGGCTGTTCGGGTTTATCGGGTTGAGGGTGGACCTTTTGGGGCTTGGGAAGGGGAGGCTCTCCACAGCAGTAACCTTTTGCATCTCAAGCCGAGGCAATGTCCTGCTGGGCTCCGAGGAGATCCGCTTTGAGAAAGGCCACGGGGGCGCCTTCGCGCCTTCGCCTGACGGAGCCCGTCCCCCCAAGACCCCCAGTCGCCCTCTGTTCAACGCAGGCGACCTCGCGATTCTGCGCTGTGTGGACGGCGACCGCGAGGTCTTGGGTTTAGGGTTTAGGGTTTAGGGTTTAGGGTTTAGGGTTTAGGGTTTAGGGTTTAGGGTTTAGGGTTATCATTGTATGGGTCAGGTGATCTTTGAGTCTAAACCTTGCATCTTGCCGGAGTGCATCTCTTGCCATCAGGTGCTGCTGTATGGCTTAGTGGAGGAGTTCCAGCCCGCCAAGACGCAGTACAAGGTCAAGCCCTGCAACCGGGGGGCCCACTGCAGCCGACAGAACTGCGACTTCTTGCACCCGGGAGAGGAGGTCCAGGACGGTATTTTCCCAACACAGGGGGTATTTCCCCTTAATTTTCCCTCCCCCAAAAAAGTATTGTTCACCCCCCCCCCCCCCAAAAAAAAAGCAAGGCCCCAAATCCTAAACGCGTACACCCTAGACCCTAAACCCTCTTGCCGGGAGACCTCCAGGAGGCCCTCTTCGCCCTCCGCGTGCAGCTCTCCGAGGTGGGCATCAGGGTTTAGGGTTTAGGGTTTAGGGGTTTAGGGTTTAGGGTTTAGGGTTTAGGGTTTAGGGTTTAGGGTTTAGGGTTTAGGGACACCCCCCCATCCCCCTTAAACGCCAGAATCCGCAATCTGTGCAGGGTAGGGATCCCCCCCCCCAAACACAAACACAAAAAGTGTGGCAACTCCAACCCTAAACCCTAAACCCTGAACCCTAAACCCGGAACCCAAAACCCTAAAACCCTCTTAAAAAAACACCATTCGCCCATCCAAACAAAACGGCTAAAGCCTAAACCCTAAACCCCATATCTCCAGACCCTACCCCTAACCCCCTAAACCCAGAAACCCAGAAACCCAGAAACCCCAAACCCCAAACCCTAAACCCCAAACCCTAAACCCTAAACCCTAAACCCTAAACCCTAAACCCTAAACCCTAAACCCTAAACCCTAAGGTGAGCGCCCTGGCGCGGCGCCACCAGGGCGAGGCCTTGCTCGGCGCCCTCCGCCGCCTCGGCAGCGCGGCCTTGCGCCTGCAGCTGGTCGGACTCTGGGCATGTATGTATGTATGTATGTATGTATGTATGTATGTATGTATGTATGTATGTATGTATGTATATATCTATGTATATACAATATATATATATATATATATGTGGTGGGTTTGGGGTTTTTCGGGTTTAGGGTTTGTAGGGTTTGGGGTGGTATAGGTTTTAGGCTTGAGGGTTGGGGGTTTAGGGTTTCGGGTTTCGGGTTTAGGCTAGCTTCATCCTGCCAATCGAGGGACTTGACTTTGGAGGAAGGAAAGCCCCCCTTTGTTTTGCTAAAGAAAGAGGGCAGATTCTGGTACTGAAGCTGAGGAACTCTAGAGTCAGGCAACCACATTGCTTGCTCATATTCTGGTCTACTTGGAGCTCGGTTCCTTAGAGCACGAGCCCAGGAATACCCGTCGTGGACCGCCAGAACCTGAATTTGGTGAAGCAGCTGCCGGAGAAGCTGCGCACGCGCCAGGGCCGCGCCGAAGCCTCCCCTGTGGCCGCGCACCTCACGCAATTTCGGGCCCCGAATGCGCCTGGGCTCAGGGTTTGAGGGTTTAAGGGTTTGAGGGTTTGTGCACGTCGGAACCTCCCCCGCCCTTCCGAAACCCTAACCCTAAACCCTGAACCCCATACCTGAACCCCCTAAATCCTCTACACCCCCTAAACCCCCTAAACCCTAGACCCTAAACCCTAAATCCCAACATGTCTAACGAAACATCAGCGCCAGGAATCCGGGAACTTCGGACCCGTTATGTTAGGGTCTTCCAAAAATATGAGGGATCCCCTTTTGGTCCCTTTTGACTGGTTCTACAGCTGCATCCTTGGGTTCAAGGTTCAGGGTTCAGGGTTCAGGGTTCAGGGTTTAGGGTTTAGGGTTGAGGGTTCAAGCTTTAGGCTTTAGGGTTTCAGGCTCAGGGTTTCGGGTTTAGGGGTTTCAGGGAAGCACCCAGTTCCTCCGGCAGTTCTCCACAAGGGAGCTACTCAGGTGGAGCAGGAGGATAGGGAGAAGAGGCCTCTGGCCAGCATCGCGCAGGTGGAGCGGGCCATCAGACATGGGCAGTACCAGGTCTCTCGGAAGTGATTTGATTTGGGTTTACGGTTTTGTAGGTTTTAGGGTTTTTGGGCTTAGGATTTCGGGGTCCTTCTGGTTCGAGACTTTGGCTGCCATTAGGGTTTTGGGCTTGGGTTTTTGGGAGGGTTTGCGGTTCGAGAATCCGAGATGCCCCCCCCCCACCCTAAGAAAGCAAAGGCAGGTCATTCAAGATGTCGTTCTGCATGTCCAATCCCAGAGAATTTGCCAAATGTGGGTTCCTGCTTCAATACAGAGCTTTCAAATTTTGGGGGTTTAGGGTTTACCTAAACCCTCAACCCTAAACCCTAAACCCTAAACCCTAAACCCTAAACCCTAAACCCTAAACCCTAAACCCTAAACCCTAAACCCTAAACCCTAACCTAAACCCTAAACCCTAAACCCTAAACCCTAAACCCTAAACCCTAAACCCTAAACCCTAAACCCTAAACCCTAAACCCAAAACCCTAGACCCTAAACCCTAAACCCTCAACCCTCCATTAGGGTTTAGGGTTTAAGGTTCAGGGTTTCAGCTCCAAGGTCACGGGCACCAGCATCAACGAGCTGCAGCTTGCTGGGCTCCAGTGCGGTCTGCAGCACGACTTCTCGGTGATCCAGGGCCCTCCAGGCCGGCGATGCCCAACCTGACGCCACGCCTAAACCCTAAGCCTTGAACCTAAACCTTAAACCTTGAACCTTAAACCTTAAACCTTAAAACCTTAAAACCTTAAAACCTTAAACCTTAAACCTTACAAAAACCCTAAATGACCCTAAACCCGAAACCCTAAGCCCTAAACCCTGGTGCACGCATAAAAGGGCAATTGCAGAACATTGCAGATAAATGCGTATGCCCCAGGCGCTGAACGGAACCCTACATACTTTTCGCTCCCTGAGCGACGGGTTCACTGCAGCCCCGAGCCCAAGCCCTAAACCCCTAAAACCGCAGGGAGCCCCAGGAAATGGGAAGACCCCCTTCAACCCTAAACCCTAAACCCTAAACCCTAAACCCTAAACCCTAAACCTAAACCCTAAACCCTAAACCCTAAACCCTAAACCCTAAACCCCAAAACCCCTAAACCCCAAGCCCCAAAAAGCCCCCAGGCACCGGGAAGACCACCTTCCTGGTGCATCTCGTCACCGCCCTCGCGAACCTGGAGCTGGATCCCACGCTGCCGCGCTTCCGGGCCGAGCGGCTTGGCCTTATGGGCGTGCGAGAGTGTGGCCCCCCTTTTTTTGGCGGGGTTTAGGGTTAGGGTTTAGGGTTTAGGGTTTGGGGTTTTAGGGTCTTAGGGTTTAGGATTTAGGGGTTTAGGGTTTAGGGTTTAGGGTTTAGGGTTTAGGGTTTAGGGTGTTGCTTGGGGTTTAGCGTTGAGGCCCTTGGCATGTGTATCTTCTCCCTTGTGTTGGGTTTTAAGAGGATCGGGGAATGTGCTGGAGAGGGCCCGCCTAGTAAAGTGTGGCCACCCCGTTCTGATTTTTTTTGGGGGAGGGTTCCTACTGCGAACATGTATGTAGAGTACATGCGAAGGGGGTTCATGAGTTAGAGAGTCGGACCCATCCCGAGGTTAGGGCCTCAAAGGGTTTCGTGCAACATCTTTGCATGCCTTCGAAGACCCTATAAACCCTACACCCTAAGGCCCTAAACCCTAAACCCTATACCCTGAACCCTGAACCCTAAACCCTCTGCAAGATGGGGGATGATGCTTTGCGTGCTTCTTTTTTCGAAGGGTTTAGGGTTTAGGGTTTAGGGTTTAGGGCTTAGGGTCTTAGGGTTTAGGGTTTAGGGCCTTCGGGCTTAAGTTTCAGGGTTTAAGGTTGGGATGTTCCCCCTTATTCGCACAGTCTGAATCGGGATTATAATCGGGGGTACTATAATCCCCTATTCAGGACTGTTAGGATAAGGGGGAACATCCCAAGTTGGGGACCCGGGCGTTTTTTGGGTGATGCTTGTGGGGTTCAGGGCTTAAGGAGGGTTTTTGGTTACAGTGCCCTAAGCTCCGAGCCCAATCTCCAACAGAGCCGCGGAATCTCCCCAATCGCCAGAAGAACCTCGCACCCAAATCCCAGGAATGCTCGGAGTGGTTCTTCACGTCCCGCTGCGCAAGAGCGGGCAGGAAGAATTCTGGTGACTCTCTTGCAGTTCCGTGTTCGCGTGTGCGAGAAGGTCTCTGGCACATGACAGTGTCGTTTTTTGCGGGTCACCTGTAGTGTCGAGCATGTAACAATCCTGAATCCTAAACGTGCCTCGACCCAAATGCCTTGAAGTCGCCTTTGCGCCCCTGACCTCACCCTCTACCCTAAACCCAAGCCTACAAATCCCACCCCAACAAACCCCAACTCGCTATAAGCTACCCAAATAACCCAACCCTAAACCCTAAACCCTCAAACCTGAGCCCTAAACCCTAAACCTCAAACCCAAGCCCCTAACCCCGAACCCCAAAACCCCTAACTCTTAAACCCTAAACCCTAAACCCTAAACCCTAAACCCTAAACCCTAAACCCTAAACCCTAAACCCTAAACCCTAAACCCTAAACCCTAAACCCTAAACCCTAAACCCTAAACCCTAAACCCTAAACCCTAAACCCACCGACACGCCACCAGCCAGGTGACGACGCCGTCGAACCAGGCGGCTGACGAGTGCCTGCGCAAGCTGGTCAAGGAGGGCTCGGGGCTGTTTAGGGCTTAGGGTTTAGGGTTTAGGGTTTAGGGTTTAGGGTTTAGGGTTTGGGGCATTTAGGGTTTAGGGTTTGGGGTTTAGGGTTTAGGGTTTAGGGTTTGGGGTTTGGGGTTTGGAGAATTTAGGGTTTAGTTTAGGGCTTAGGGTGTTTAGGGTTTAGGGCTTGCATGGTTTTGTAGGGTTTAGGGTGAACAGGGTGCAGGGTTTGTAGGGTTTGTAGCATTTTGGGTTTAAGTTTTATGGGTTTCTGGGGTTTGTGAGTTTCTGGGGTTTATAGGGTTGAAAGGCTTTATAGGGGTTATACGGTCTAACTGGTCTAAAGGTTTAGTGGTTGCGTGGGTTTAGGCGTTATTAGGGGCTTAGGGTTGAGGTTTAGGGTTTATAGAGTATGGGGTTTAGGGGTTTAATACGGTTCAGTGGCTTCGGGCTTAGTGTTTAGAACAAAACAATGGTACAACCCTATTTTCGGACGATCCGAATTTTGGGAAGCTGTCAGCGGAATGGAACAAGAAGCGAAGCCAGCTCACAGGCGGTTGGTTGTCGGACAATTGAGAGAGCAGTTGCAGTCTTACACCCTAAACACCCCAAACATCCCAAACACCCTAAACACCCTAAACACCCTAAACACCCTAAACACCCGAAACACCCTAAACACCACGTCCCCGTCACTGTAGGACACCACAATCCCACGGCAGTACATCACCAGAGTGTACGCGCGAACCATCGAGTACAAGTACGGCAGCAAGCTGAAGGGCGACCCCCTGGATGCTGGGCAGAAAAGCAAAACCCTAAACCCTAAACCCTAAACCCTAAACCCTAAACCCTAAACCCTAAACTCTAAACCCTAAAAAGAGCATGAATCTTCAGGGACACCCCAGACTGAAGAGGGGCCGAAAAGCCTGCCTAAAATCTTAAGACCCTACACCCCCCAAACCCCCAAAAACCCTGAAACCCGATAACGCCTAGCCCTAAACCCTAAACCCTAAACCCTAAACCCTAAACCCGAAACCCTTAACCCTAAACCTAAACCTCTGAAGCCCCTACATAAGCCCGAGTCTTTTCAAGACCGATGCCATGCTGGGGCGGTGATGCTGCGGTGCCCAGCCGAGGACTCCGGCATCTCGCGAACGGAGCACAAGGCAAGGAAGCTCTTAGGGTTTGGGGGGGTTTAGGGTTTAGGGTTTAGGGTTTAGGGTTTAGGGTTTAGGGT